TTAGTAGCTTTAAGGGAATTGTTTAAAGTATAGTTGTTCTTTATTGAAGAGACACCTGTTATCCACACTTTACAGATAGGGAACTGAGCACAGAAATGATATGGTTTGCACAGTTTGCAGAGCTCTGAGAGAGCAAAATGCTTAACCTGATTCCTGCAAGCCTTAACCAAGTGCCCTCACTTCTGTTCACCCTTCCATGTAGGACACTTAGAAGAACATAGGTGATTGTTAAAGACAAATTTCACTAGAAAGAATAACTGAGTGTATAAAAATGGAAAAGTATCTAGGTAAATGGAGTGGGAAGAATGTAATAATTTTTGTATAGTGTTGCAGTGTGCTGTTTTTAACAGTTCCAACGTATCTTTTCAATGTAGCTTTGAATATGGTGTAATGAACAGATCCATTGGTCCATTCCTCCTTGTACAATTCAGTGAAGCTGTCAAGAGAAAGACATGAGGGTCCTCGTGGATAAATCACAAGAGTGGAAGAGGTGGTTCCACTGGGACCTGGTCCTTAGGGCTGGAGAAACCTTTCAAGTGATTTCCTTGGTACTAATCCTGAGCTGTGCTCTGGAAAAATCTACACTCTGTGCCACAATCAGCTTTACCTGAGACAGGTGCCCATTCTGGAAGATGTATCAGAAGCTGTGATGGACAGTAAATGGCACAAAATTGGATGGGGTGCAGTGTTCTGGCTGGAATTCTTTGCATTTGACAGGAAATAGTGCTCTCAGGCACGTTCTTGGTCATTAGCAGTCACTTGTCTTTCATTCTTTTTGGTTTCTTGAGACGTGTCTCCTATCCAAAAATCTTTTCAGTTGATTTGAAGGAGTAAAATGACTGGTTCTCAGCATAGTTCTTGTCTATACATAGGGTTTTATTTAATAATTATGGCAACTTCATAGCATTTTCTCCTGGGCAGTAGTCTAAACAGATACATTATTGTCTTCCTGAATCCAATTTGTAACAATAATATTTTTCTCTTAATGTGTTTTTGGAACCAATTTGACTGCTTTCCCTTCTCCCTGTCTTTCCACTAGGATATCTCAGCAAGTGCTCTGCCCTGCACTCTGTCAGTTTTCTTCTGTTTGCCTACTTATGCTAACACTACTCCAAAAATGACCTCTTTTCTGTCAACATATTGATAAGGGACATGGTTAAGCGTTTTAAGGGCGTATTACACCTGTTTCGAACCGTGGAGATGATACAACTCAACCATGTTTTGGGAATAAATTTGTGTAAGAGAGAGGTTTGTGTAAGATTAGTTTAATGTATGGGCTGAAATTCATGTATGAGATAGACCGCTGAGAAGCTTGAGCAGTGTTCCTACAATATAGACTGTCCATGCAGGAGAGAAAAAAAAAAAAAAAAAAAAAGCCCAAATATAAAATTCTCTAGGCCACTTGCTTCATTTGATTCATTTCCTCTATATCTTCGATTACAAAGCTGTTGAGGAACATCATTTGTGCAAACATAAAAGTTCTCTTTAACTAAAGTCAACCAATGTGTTTTTCAATGAGCTAGAGCTCATAAGAAAGATTCAAACAATAACTGTGTAAAGAAAGCAATTAGTGTTTGTACAATATATTGAAAATTAGCCCTAGGCATAGTGGAAAAATACATGTTTTAAATGTATATTTTTCATCCAATGTCATAGTTTATATTCGATGTGGACATAGATGCTTCTGAAGGCTACTAAATTAATTCAAGCTGTGAAAGAGGCTTTGATTGTCTATTTAAAAAGGTTTATTACTATAACATAGTTGGTCTTACACTGTATATTTAGTCACTCAAGGGAAAATCCTTTCCTACTACTACAGTATGTCAAGGAAGCTTATCGGCATACAAACAGCAAACATGGACCTCTCGTGTTACAAAGCTTCAACTTTTGTAGTTTAAAAGTAGGACATTTCTAAAAATGTACTAATTATCTCATTCTAACACAAGGAGGTACCGCTCTCACTTTGTCACATAGTGATACTTTCCATAGGTTTTAAAACGCTAACAGTTATAGGGATCGGTGGAAAACTTTAATAATTGTTGGTGGGTCCAATTACAGGGAACAACTGCTGCATTATCTGTCATGAAGGTTGTGCATCCATTATCATGGATGTTTTGGCCACGGTTTGATAGGAAACAAGGTCAAGAGCTTACCCAGAGAGGGGAAGCAGGGGGAGGCAAGAAACAGGAATTGATGGAGCCATGCGGAGAATACCGGTTAAAAACTTAGGGATGAGTGCATACATGTTCTGAAAATGTGAGTTTGCATAGTTGACTATGGGAAAGTGCTACTTTTCTTTCATATGCATTTAGCATTTGATTCTAGTAGGCCAGAGTACAAACCAAAAGAAAAGGTTCCTGAGGCATTCTTGTGGTATAATGGGCACGAATGTAGTTTCTGCTGTTGACTATGTTAAAGTATTTGTTGTCTAGATGAATGATTATGGTGTACACAGAGAGAAACCTTTCTAGAAAACTAGCTGAAACAGTTTTTGGTGCTATAAGAGGATTCCCTAAAATGAAAGTAAATGTAGGATCTTAGGTACATGAGTATATTGTTTTGCCTTAATATATGAGAGAGAGCATATGGTTTTGGTAATACACTAAGAAGAGCAATTAACCTTATGGCACACTCATTTGTTAGTCTCAGTTTTTTATAAACTAGGTAATAAAGATACTTTAGCATCATACTGCTTTATAGGAGATTAGTGAAATTAGGGTGTATTTTTCAATGTTTAACAATACTCAGGTGATGCTGTAAGTGATAGAAACAAAAAATTAACAGAGTAAGATATACAAAGTGTCATGTGGTGTATCTAACCAATGAATATAAATTGCAAATGTGTAAGTAAATTGTATAGCTTACAGAAATAAAAACATATTTTAAAGGTTTTCATCGGAAGAGGAACAGTCTTCACAGGATGAGAACTCAGATCTGTCATTCAGCTTGTTCTTGTCACATTGCAAAAATTGTAATATAAACTCTGTTCCCATGCTTATCTAATGTAAAAAAGAATTTTAGACTTACCTTCTTACTCCTGCTGTGCAAAGATACAGCATTTCCTATAATAACTTTCATGTAACTGTTTGGAAGGAAGACGCTAACAAAAGAATAGGTTTCTTTTAACAGCAAGCACCATCCTTCTGTTTTTTAAAGGATTAATGGAAGGTAAGACACTTCCTGCAGAAGTTCCAGTCTCTCAGCAGGCAGCTACGACGTTTCTCTCCAGCATACAGAGAAATTGCATACAAATGAGCAAGTGTCTTGCCCCACAAACTGCCAACAAGAAAGGCCCTTTTTTCCCTCGTTCACCATAGGTTCCTCACATTACAAGTTTTGTACTCTTGATAGTCATTGTTGTGCAGCCGTCACCCTGCTGTGCAGTCAAGTGACACCAAAGGCTGAATGACATTAGCTTGCAAGTTTTTTGGTTTCCAGATTGGTGATGGTGGCAGGAGAGAGACGTTATTTTTTTATTTGATTCTATAACTTTTGGCAATCAGCTTTTGGGCTCTTACTTTTGTGCAATATTTGTTTTCCAGTCTTTTCCCCTATTTATTGTAAATGCCCCGAAAGAGATTTCTTAATCAGTTTATTTGTGGATTTATCTTGGATTGCGTAAAATATTATATATTCTGGTTATTAATGTCTGTCTCTTTCCTGGTTTACTATTATTTGTCTGATTTTTACCTTACATTTTGGCTACAGAGGTTTTTAATTGAATTTGCCTAGTGATAACCGTAATAGATTGTTGCTGGCTTTTTCTTATCCTCAGTTGTTAAGAAAACAATTTTTTTCTTTTAGGTTTGCTGCAGAGGCTGCTGTGTTAGCCTTCTGTACAAATTTGCAGTCATGTTCGTTCTATTTCATTGAATTGACTGAACAATGTATTTGCTGGTACAGCCTTCACTGATTATGAGGACTCTTTTGCTTTACTAGACTTGACAATGTTTAAACAATGCTAATTCTCATACCCAGCTGGCTTTTCAATTGATTTCTGTGCTCTCTGTTGCTGTGTAAAACAAGCTGGAACATTAAAGACATCTTGCATCCTACTCTCTGGAGACTTATTTTTCTTTAGAGGAAAATCAAATAAGTATAAAATGTGAAGTTTTTTTCTCCTCATACTTTCTGTTGGGGTGTTTAAATAATATTTCAGTATTTTGGCTGATTTTGTACATGTTAAGGTGCTATTTTTTAATGCATATTCTTTCAGATAAAAAAAAAAAACCTATTTATTTTAGAGTGAGATTTGTTAGTTTGCTCTTTTGTTTATATAACTAACTATGTTTGTCCCTTTCTTCATTTAAAACAAAATATACCGGCTTTCAAATTCTGTTCATGTTATATGCAAATTTGCCATTTTAACCCAGCTACAATTTTGCATGTTTAAAATGTGTTTCAAGACCAGTCAAAGAACATTTGCAGATGTTAATTATGTGTTCTATGTATTGAAGCAGCCTGAAGTTTTGACCTAAATGTTGGTCCGGGGAGAGTGAGCATAAAACATTTTCTATCCAGTGAACTTCAACATTTAAGTTGCACCGTGAGACAAATCCAAACCTTAAAACAAATGCTCCTGAAAAATGAATTTTCTGTGCTCTGTAGTAGTCAGCAGTTTATCTGTAGTGGGGGAGGCCGAGCTGAGGTCTCACATTTTATTTCCTGTCCCAAAGTGTGTTTTAACCGTGGGTGAGATGAGTGCTCTAGCATGAGTCTCTCCCTCTAGTCCTTTAGAGAGTGTTTCATTTCTTAGAATTTAAGATAATTGGGAAATACTAACTTTCTTTTTGTGTGAAAAAAAGAGTAGTCTTCTCCTACTTCTTTTTTGCCACTAGTACAACGTATGTGCTAATACCTGTTTAACACAGTGTTGGGGAACTCCGAGTACTGCATATGATGCTGTTGGAGTCATTATATGAAATATTTAATGGGTAATGAATATTTTGATCAGACTATTTTATTTAAGCCATGTTTTTTTCTTCTTTAATTTACCACAGCTGGTCTGAAAAACCAGAAGAATGGAAATTTCAAAAGACAAGACAAACCTGGCTTCTTTTGCACATGTATGACAAAGAGAAGGTTTGTATTAACACTATTTTTGCTCAGATCAGTGGCGATATAAAGTTTTATGCGTTAGTTACAGCTAGTCTTTATTAACCAAAAGTTGCTAGTGTTAGCCTCATACCTTTCTAATTGTTTTTAATAATTTATAAATCAGTTACTATATTTTTAAACTAAAATAATGAGTCATATTAATTGTTGGTAGTTAATCTTTTAATTTTGAGGGATGATCTGTCTTCTGTGTATCCGAGATTCTTATACTTGTTAAATGTCAAATATAAACGGAGACAATCTATGTCAAATATAAATCTGGAGCTTCCTGAGAATATATATGAGTGGTATCCTTAATTTGAATTTCTGAATTTGTAATCCAGTGCTATAAACCACAATTCTGAGTTCTTGGGCAGCTCGTGTTGCTTCAGATCTCTCTGGCTCTATGCAAGATGTATCGCCATATTGTCAAGATGGTAAAATAGTTTTCTCATTAAAATATAAATGAAACCGTATGATGATGTTAAATGCATAAAGTAAAACCGGAAGCTAGACTGGCATCATTACTGAAATCCATTGATTTCGTAACTCGGAAAACAACATAGACTAAATTTCCAGTAAATGTCTGACCTTCATGGTATTGAATGGAGGGTTTTGGATCATTCCTTTTGTTGCATAGTAGAACAAACGATCTAGCCATTTGCACGGCGGCTCATTTATTGATACATTTAGTTGACATTCAGTCAGTTTTTGCTGATTATTTTTTTTGTGTCTAAACATTTCAGTGTAAGAATCTTTCTGACTCAAGTTATTATGCATCTCTTAAGCTAACTACCTGACATATGGTGTTACCTTTATGATTAGAAATATGTTTAGAGAACCATATAACTAAACCAGAGTTTCATGAAGGCAAAAATATTCACACAGTGTAATACTTTGAGAAGATTAGTCACAGAATACAAATCTGATTGTAGGTACATAGATTGTTTGCACTGTCTTTTGTTTTGTTTTTTCTTTAAAAGTCTGTATCAACCTTTAAAAATGAAAAATGCTCTTCAAAGCTACCTAGAAATTGGTTCACAACCAAAATGATTTTGTTGCTTTTTTACCTGTTTACCTTAGGGGGTTGTATTGAAATATACTGGGAAATAATTAACTCAAACTAGCATTCATTTTCAGTGGATTTATGTATCAAGACATGGCTTAATTTTGTATTTCTCAACACTGAAATGAAAACCTTCCTTTCTAGATTTTTTTTGATCTACTGAGAGCATGGTGATTTATTTATATTCACATATCTTTTACTGTTTAATAGTGTGAGATACATTGAATATGAACATTAAATAATGATTAACATCTGCATTCAGATTCAGTAAAGCTGCCAGAACTACTCAAGTGCTTATAATTAAGTATGTGATAAAGTCTTCCTTCGTCAGGACTGCAGTGAGGGCAGAGCAGCTTCTTTTGAATATGTTTGTGTACCCAAATCCAACTTCCTGCCCATTACAGAGTAAAATCTGTCGGATATCCGAACATGACTAAAATACAAAAGGAGACATCAGTTTCTTTCCTTCCTAAGCCACATCTTTGATCTTTTGATGCGACTTGGATGCCTACTGAAAGGCCATGCCTAGGGGTACATTAAGTTTCCTAAACTGAGATGCCTCTTTCTGTAAGAAGTAGGTTGAAGTTCTTTAAATTTTACAGTCCTTCAGAACATTAACTTTTTTTTAAAGTCCCTTTAAAATCCATCTGCTGGTTAGCTGACAGCTACAGAGCCAAATCTATACACCTAGAGCGTATATACTTCTTCAGGATCCTGTATAAAATAAACACTAGATCATTTGTTGATCTTAGAGTCATTTGGCACAGCATCTTTAGAAAATAGCTATGTCAGTTATCCTCTGCTTCTGGACTGCAGACCCCTGGAGGGGTTTTTCTGAAGCTTCTTAGGACCTGAAAAGCAAGCTTGTTGTCAGTAAGCTGAAGTTCCTTGTGCAGATACCTCTGTTTGCTTTGCAAAATATGTGGGCCTCTGCAAATCTGAAAAGGCTGAAAACCCTTTTGAGTTACACAGTATAATTTAAAAGCGATAGCTGTTCTTTTCCTGCTATTACTTGGCATTTCCTCCTTTTTCACAATGGCACATAGCTGCTGAGCGTTCAGGAGCTGGCAGCAATCATTTCTCTTTCCGATACTTCCATTTTAGTCAGCTCCTATGCGTATTAGCTAGTTAGAACAGATGCAAGGTTGGTCTGTGAGGGAGCAAAAGAAACAAAAAAGAGAAGCAAGAAAAAGATCAAAAAATGCTTTAAAGAAAGGAAGGAAGGAAGGAAGGAAGAAAGATCCAGTAAGCATCGCTTCCACTTGCCAGAGCCACGGTTAAAGATCTTGCTATCCAATTCCAAGCCTCCCCAAAAGCTGATCTTAGAGAAGGATTGTGTTCCTTTGTGTAAAAACCTCACCAAGAGTCCTTGAAACTCCAGCTCTTGCATTACTGTATTTTAAGAATTAAAATCTTGATTGCATTTACCTTTTGCTGATATTTCATGTGTTCCTCTTGTCCAGTTGTTGCTATGGCCCTATTGTATGTGTAAGTTAGGAGGAGAAAATAGAATGCTATCTTGTCTACATGTTACTGTTCTGTAAGCTATTGCTGAAATAAAATAAATCATTGTGCTGAAGAAAAAATTCAGACATTTTTAAGCACTTGTGCTTGGGGCTGAACGCTAAATGCCTTATAGGCCTCAGGCAGCTACATGTCTGTCTGCACATGTAATCTTTCTAAGTTTAGAATAGGCTCTTAATTGCCCCTTTAAGCACTTTGCTTAAACGATACAATAATAACTGTAGTTCCACACAGTGAGATATGACTGTATCATGAGGTCTGAGAAAGAGAAGCATAAATTATGTAGATAATTTGGCTAAGGCTTAGAACATAGAAATGTTCCAATACTGAGTATTTGTGTTAAAGGAGCGCTGTCAGGCTGAAATTGTTTGTGTCCGAACATTTTTTGTCTGTTATTAGTACTGGTGTACTATGAGTAGAAAGGGTTCAAACAATACGGATGTTTTTCTTGAAGTCTCAACGTGTTTGGTTAGCGTATTATAGCAACACTTCACATAAAATTAATTGTGGTGTTACTATAAAAGTAGTATTTCTTATATCTGTATCATTCAAGAGCATTCCTAGGAAGAATCATAAGGTTTTCCATAGCATATAAGTTCTAAGGCTGAATGTAGGCTTTACTTTTGATTTACTACTTTGTAATATCCCTGATTGATTTGGGCAGCGTTGGAATATTCTTTCTTCCTCTGCTTTGGGAATGATAGAAGTTGTAGTGATCCAAGTTACGCTGCCAAATGGTGATGGAGAACTAAGCTGTAAATTAAATATCTATTGAAGTTCTGTCTTCTCTGAAATGTTGATACTTTGCAGCATTGAAACAGCCCTCAATTAGCCTGCAGTCCTTTAAATACTTACGTATGTGTTTAGCTTGAGTCATGTTGAGTAGGCCTTTTAAAGTTATATATGTGAAATTAAACATGGAGGAAAATCTTTGCCAGCCAAGGTCATTTTAACATCTCCTGATTCTCAGGAGAAACATTCTCTTACTGGCTGAAACTTGTTCCACAAATACACGATATAAAATTTAGATAGGCTCTGTTGTAATCTGTTCGCCTAATACTATTGAAAATACATTGGTTTATGGTTTAAAATACTAAATAAATCATTCAAAAATCTTTGCTAGCTTATTGCCAAGGTAAATTTAATGCGATGGTCATTTAAATTGTACGTTGTACTAGTTAAGCTAAAATTTAACCTCTTGCTAGCTAATTAGAAAGGAAGAGAAAGGCAGAGGTAATGCAGTTGTAGGTGACTAAACTGCTTTTAATGTTAGAAATGTTTGGTTGGAAGAGCCTATCGGTTTTAGTCAATGTGATTTAAAATTTATTTCCATATGCCTGAATTGAATTTGTTTTTCAAATTCAGTTCTATGCCTTTGTACAAGGATTCCATCAAAGTCGCAAGCTATTGTTTGATAGTAGGTGCTATTTCATCTTAGCAAATAATTTTGGACAGGGGTGAGGAGGAGAATCAGTATTATTAGGCTTTCTCAGATGCTTCCAGCCAAATTATTTCCTTAAACCATGTGCATGCAATTGTCACTTGAATTTAGTAAGGTTTGCCTACATTTATCCAAAAGTAGGATTTGGTGAGTGGTTTGTTTCTTCCAACAACCCTTAAAGGCTCGAGATCGTACTCAGGGAGTGTTTACGTTTGCTGATCAACTTTTCCACATCTGCTTAGAATTTGCTCTCAGAATCGTTGCCCGTCGGAGCACATGACAGTCCTCTCATGGTGGCCCGACCGTCCCAGCAGCTTCAACGTTGGCAAGAAACAATTCCATTCAGAGGTGGGCATTGGCCGATGCAAAAGCCCATGCCGTTCCCATAGTTGTCTTTCAGGTGATCATTTGACATGATTGTGAAGGAATATTGAAAGAGAAAAAAATAAAACTTTTTTTGTTTTTTCCTTAAAGGTTCCAGACGGATATTTCACCATTTTACTGGATTATCTACAGGGACTTAAAGGCAGTGCACGAGATGTAACTGTGCAGAAAGCCGAAGCTCTTATGAAAGAATTTGACAATTCTGATGCAGAAGATCCAAGCCTGGTGGAGAAGTGTGAGCGCATACGACAAGTTCTGCAACTGCTATCCTGAAAGTGCTTGTGTGTCGTGATGGTTGTCTCTGTTCCTGGTGGAGAGAAGGATAGAATGTCACGTACAGATACTATAAATTAATTATAAAGACGTATTTTCGTAAAGAGTCTTAATACTAAATTTTCAGGCTTTCTACTCATAGTCTCATAGTTTTCTTCTTATTACAATTATTTATCATGTGTAATGGTGATGAAGTCAAAACAGAACATCATCTCCGGGCCGTAGACATGCCATTTTGATTAAGGGCAATCTTATTATGTATCTTTCGAAAAATAAACTGCTTTTCTTGTTAAGTTTTTCTGCACCTTTCCATGTGGTTACTGTTAAATGAGAGGAGCTTTGCAGTTCTGAATAAGAAGACCAAAGCAACCAACAGAAAGCCTGGAGGTTCTTTAGGAATGGCGGCTTTTGCAATGAACATACAGTACAGTGCTTGCTCAACCAGCTGTAATCTATCACTTTTCAGCTGTAGAGGCATGTCATTTGGATTTGGGAAAGATCATTTTCAGTCTGTTGAGCATGCGTTATATAACACAGTTGCGTATTAGTACTTTAAGCGGTGATCTGGAGATACTGTCAGCTCTCTAAGTTTTCCTTTTATATTTTAAAGTTTTCAAATGCTTCATGGCAACTGTTTAGATACTCAGATAATGTACAGATGAGAATAGATAAGATCTTTTGACCATATGTATTGAAATCATCTGATTGTACCTAAACTTACGCTATGATGAGAAGTGCTGTGCCGCAACATTTTGTGTGTAGCCTGCCAATATTACGTTTTCATCTTTCTCTTGTAATTGTTGTCCAAAAGAGTTTATTTATGCTCATTTTCTTTGATGTGGGACATTTGTCCCCTATGAACATGTTCAAAATGAGGCTTTCACATAAAGACCAAGGACATTAATTACTCCAAAGTTGGATGATTAGCTTATTTAATAACACTTGTGTTCAGAAAATGTTCTTGACCTTATTCTTTAGTGTTTCCGCAAACATTGTTCATACCTTATTAATAAGTAGTATATGAAATGTGTTTTATTTTAAAAGAGGGACTGTCCTTGGGAATTACGGCTTTAATTTGGATGGGTGATAGAGGGGGAGGGTCTGTGATATGCAGGCCGTATTTTTCGATAAGAAGCATATGAGTGGCTCTGACAGCTTTCACAGCCATGAATTACTACAAATCTTTAAAAGTACAAATGATATTACTAGTAACAACTTACGTGTTCTGACTTCTTTAAGATGGTATTTTCAGCCGAGAAGGGTGAGAGATCCAGCATGTCCTGATCTAAAGCAGTAATTGTAATGAAGATTAACACAACAGTGAGCAAAATATAACAGAAGTGGCCAGCCTGCGGCCATGGAGTTGCCAATGGTTCATAAGCTGCTCAGGTGCTATTCCCATGCCATGGGGAACAGTTGGTTGGGGCAGCAGAGCTCCCTCTCTCGGAGGGTGGATACAGTGTTGAAACAGTGATTTCAAAAGGAATGGAAGAGGTGATGGCACAGCTATGATATAGGAGCAAAGACGACACGCAGGTAGGTGTGACAAAAGATGATGAAGAATGTTGGGTGAGATGGTGCTCTGAGTGGAGAGTCAACTGGAGAAAGTGAAGAGAACCAATGTCAGAAAGGTAGGGAGCCTGGGTTAGATAGAAATGCAGACTTCCACAAAGTTTGAGTGCATTCAGGTGGAGGACCACCTTAATATTGTAGTCACCAATTTAAGTTATGCTCTAGGAGTGTTTCTTCCCCCATCTCCTTTACCTTCTCTTTTTCTACCACTAGTAAGGTTACTAGTTGGAAGGATCTTTCTGAGACCCAAAGCTATATAAATCTTAGCTGCCAGTACAAAAGCTGGAGAAAAGGGTCTGTAATATTAAGGAAGTGATACTGACATTGAATGAACTAGTGAAAGATGTTTGGGTCTTGTATTTTATGTCTGAGAATATGTAGCTGAGAAAAATTACTATCACTCCAAGCAGAAGCTAATTCTTCTTTCTCTCCAGATCAGGAAGAAGGAATTTCTAAGGGATGAAGTTTTCAGAGTGTCTTTTTGTGACTTTATGATTGCATTTGAGGAGTCATAGAAGACTTTGTGTCTTTTCTTAGATATCTTTGTGTTATCTGTTAGGTGTTTGGAAACCACTACTTTTGATTTGTCTGTCGTGCAAAAATGTGGTTCTTAAATTGTGTGCTTAATATGCGTTGTAGTTTGAAAACACAAATACATTGCAACCATTTTTTAGAAAAGACTTGTAATAAGGATCGTAAAAGTGAGGTCCAGGTAGAAAACATGTAACCTTTTATAGTGTCAAGCTTTGCCTTTTCTGAACCTTAGTTCATATGCAAATACTGATAAAAACTGTAAGAGGAGTGGCTTTCTAGTTCATTAAGTGAGTTCTAGAACATTAATATTTCGTTTAACATCAGTTAATTTTAAAACAGCATGTGGGGACTGCTAATCTGGAGTCAGTGTGAACAATAACTTTTGGAAGAGAACAATTAGAGCCTCTAACAAGCGCAGTAATAGCCCTCTCGGCAAGATCTTGCTTTGCTCTCCCTCAGCTGCAGTTTCAACTTTCACTTCAGTGCTGCCAGTTACTGGTTGAAGGGAACAGTCGTCAACCTCTTCACCAACACGTCTTGCAGTCATGGAAAATTCGGAAGCTGAAAGTTAAGGTAATTGTTACTTTGGTTGTGTTTGACAGAGAAAGCCAAGTGTGTCTTCTGTCACATGTTTCTCCGTATATGGTACCGTCCAAAGGTCACTGGTGTCCAGAAACTGGGTAACAGGCTCGTAAACCTTCTACTTTATATTGTTACTGTATATCTCTTGGGTTTCAAAGCTCCATGTGAAATAGTGTAAGTATTGTCTTATACTTGGTGTAATAACGTAAAGAGAAGGGGACATTTAATGGCATTTCACTGTTTTACTTTTCTTGAAAAATCTTTATCTAGTTGGCAAAGAAATCATACTGAGAACACCCATGAAACACAAAAAGAAGCACGTTTTAGGGAGGTATGTATTGTTAGGCCCATTTTACAGATGAGACTGTGAGGACCCAGACAGCTTACCCGACATGATGTGCAGATGCAATAGCATATCTGGCAATCAAATTCAGTCTCTTCTATATGCTAGTCACCCGGCTAGCTTCTGCTTCCTGCTCAGTTTGGCATTATAATCTGGGAATTTACATTGCATGATGAATAAAGATAGCAAGATTTCCTCCATGATTTATTTTAAATTCTTAAGTGTATAATTACAGTTAGTGAATTCCTGTAGCTAAGCTATGCAGGAAGATGTAATCTGTCACTTCATTCACTGTGCTTTGTCATTTGGTCACTTTTGAAATCTAATGGCATTTGTAGCTTAGGCAATCATTTGGATACAGATAGGACAAAATTGTGACTGTACCTCCATTTAAATCAGTCTGTTATGTTAATAAAAATTGGATCCAAGGCTAGAAGAAACTGTGTGTACAGACTGACAAATTACATCTTCATCTGCCTACTCTAATTGTCTTCTAGCTGGGTTAATCTGTATTGTGTAGCTCTGACTAGAAGAATTCATACCCTAAGAGAATGCTGAAGTCAGGATTTCTAGGCAAAATAAAGAAGCATTAATTACCCAAAATTGCTTAAAGCTGGAGCTGTGCCTCTAATGGCAGTACTAATTACTCAAAACCTGACAGTGTCAAAAGCTCCCCTTAATTTGGCTGATATTTGCTCTGGATTGTGTATCTTCTTGGTTCTCTACTATCTGCCTACAATTTCAATTTGTTATCACCATTGTCAAATTACTGAGTAAATGAATTCTCTGTTTGTATTTGGAAAGCATATATTGTAGTTGTTGCATGCGCAGTGTATTATTCCTTCTCCCCTCCCACTGGAGAGTAGCTCTGCTTCATTTCTGTTAATTTAAAAACAAGGTGACTCTTGGCACATCTCCCATCCTTTCAATTAGCTTAGAAATGCACTACTTTGGTTTTGGGTTTTGTTTTGTGTTTTACTTCTGGCACTGAATAAAATAAAGCAACAAACATTAAAATCACATTTCTGCAAATGAAAAAGCAATGATAAATGAAATTTAAGTTGTGAGATCAAGCACTCAGAAAATTAGAAAACATAAGAATGGAAGTCATCTGTGTAATCTTAATTTTGCTCCTTCATGCATGTGTAGTATCATGCAACCTCTAATTATGTCATCACATACTGCATTTTTCATAGTGGATAACTGATAAGTCATTTATTCAGTGTTTTCCTTGCAACTCTTACATTATTCTCATTTTCAAAATCTAGGTCTACAAAGTAATATTAAAGCTACACAAGTAACTTTACTGCGTGGATTTGATCATGCAAGGATGAAATAAGTAGGAACTTTCCTGTTGACTTCATTTGGCATAGGATCTGGTCATAGATATTTCATCACAAATATTGCCTTAAAACATTTTTAAAAGTTCTGATTCATTTATAGTCAAAATACTGAATTGACGTTACTTAATTTAAATCCAATTTTGTTGACATAAAACTTTCCAGTGGCTTATTCTGGTTTAGCCTTAGGTTTCCTTTTATGTCTTCCTTTCTGTACAGCTGAATGAGCTAGTTGTTTCTGTCCCTGCAAATAGGAATATTAGTTGTTTACCGTGATTCCAGTCATACAAGGACACAATTAAATATCCTTGCCTTCGCAGGGCAAGCTTGTTTTAGCGCTGCTTTATAATTACATTCTATTTTAAATTCTTCATAAGAATATACATAGTAACAACTTGATACGGTCAAAAAATAATTATTTTAAAATATTTTTTTCCTACAAAGAACAAGGAATACCAAATTAAATAAAGCTAATGAACAAAAGGTGGGGGAAGGCCAAAGCACACAGCGGTTTATCTTTCTGTGTCAAAACAGAGCTGAATAAGAAGCTTGTGCTACTAGGAAAATTTGGCTGGTGTTATGGACGCAGAGGGAGGGACCTTAGGATAAAAACAAACCCACAAAAACACCTACATCACAAAGTTAAATAGGTTTCAAAATCGAATACTTAAAGGTCAAGAAATGCCACGTTATATATAAGTTACCAGAAGAATTTTAACTCTACCTCTTTATGCCTCCAAACCTGGACACTGAATGAAGGGGAACTGGGTTAAAAAAGAAACAAACAAAAAGCCACAAAGTATGGGATCACATAATTAAAGATTGCTACCATTCACCCTTGTATGCACATCAAGGTGGAATTAAGTTTCGTGTAGCTTTTAACTATTCCGATTTTTTTAAGAAGGTGGGTAGATAATTGAAGTATCACATAGCCTTTTGCTGTTCTAACATTCATCTATTCTCCTCATGGTCCCGTGTGCATCTTGTCCAATATTCTGTGTTGTCTAATGAAGACTGTAAGCCTCCGGCACGCAATCTGTCACTCTTATTTGCTTATAAATAGCCAGACCTAGCTGTGGCACTGTAGAAATGATCATTTGCTGTTGGGCTGCTTTGGACCCAGAGAAGGGCTTTGAATGTTTCCCTGTACTGTTCTAAGTTGTCATGTTTGCCTATACAGCTTCCTTTGTATCAGCCAGGCTTTCTTAAGCTCCATGAAATTGCCCAAGTCCAGCGCAATGATGCTGCTTGTGGAGTTTGCCAAGTGAGCAGTGGCATTTGGAGAGGTGGGGCTGCAGCATCTCAGCTGCTCAGGATACTCGGCACACAGCTTAGTGCCCTCCTGGGACTTGGTGCCCATTTTCCAGCTTGGACTGTTGAGAGTTGCAACTCGTTTATCTGCCTACTTTCTATGGGTTGAATTTGACTAGACGAACTGATTTACAAGCTATTTGAGCATATTCAAAGCTTAAGCTTACAACGGTGGTGTTTCTCTGGTATCATAGATACATGTAAATAGACTTCATGGATTTCACAAAGACAGTGCTCTCTATTAGAAGCAGAAGCTCTTGCAGGATCCTGGAAATGGTTGACCAGCAACCTGATTTACCTTGTTAAATAAGACCAGTCTTTCCATGAGCTGTCATAAATATATGCTAGCAGATAGACATGACTACAGACAGCCAAGAAACCATTTATGGGCATCAAACATACTAGAGGGCAAAAATGACAGTAGGGAATGTAACCTCCAAGTTGCATGCTTTTGGTAAGGCAAAATGCCACCTGGCACAAATCCTGGCTGCCATAAGTTTAAAAATAACAAATAGTATCCCTATTACATAAGGAAATCTTTTGTCCTTGTTTAATTGGGCACTATGATACACAGAAAAGAATAAATATGTAGCTGCTCTGAACTCTTACTTGTGGCTACTGCCTAGGGCCAAAACAACTAAAAATACCGGAGTTGATTCTAAAACAGGGTCTTATATACAAACTACTGGTATTAAACAGATGAAATCTGTGTGAAAGTCTAGTGTCTAAGCACTCTTAATAGCAGCGTAAAACCAGTTCATCACACTGGTGACATCTCAGCCCCAGGAGAAGGACTTCTAGTCCCTTCCTGTAATGATCATGTTACTTATAAATGCCTTCAAAGAATCTGCATATTCAAAGCAATTTGTAAACCCTGCAGATGGCTGCAATCCATCCGTCAAGTTCTGCTGCTTATTACAGTAGAACGGATATTGGAACAGCTCTGTTGAAGCCATTGTGGATGTACATCGATGCAAGTTAAATTGAAACTCATCCCAGAAGTACAAACTGTGTTCGTCCACCTCACCTGCATGCCTGTGGAGCCCACAGACCCTTGCAGTGCCAGGGAGGAAACACCTGCTTCCTTTTCAGTTAAAGAACTGGCACAGTTTAGTTCCCATATTTGGGGCAGAGGACAGCACTGAGTGCAGACCAAGAAGGAAAAGCCGCTGCTGGAGGAGTTACACGAGAGGGGTGTGTTACTTCACTGTTTGGAGCTGTCTCACTTCTTGGGGCTAAAACTGGAAAGCGAGGCTGAAAGGAAAGGCATATACTCACAAGTTTTCTTTTGAGACCTACAAATTGCCTTCTTGTTTTAATCACACTCAACATGGCATGCTGTTAGTGATGAATCTGGAGTCTAAGTTCAAGCCAAATTCTTGCGTTTCTGAAGCTTTGCCTGAGTGAGGACTGCATATGTGGATACCTATCTGCAGTTAGAGAGCACAGCTCTGCTTGTACTTGACATCGCCTTGTAGGCCTTGTGGCTGTGATGCCTTCTAGGTCAGCACAACCTTTACTTAGTCACCCTTATGAACATGTTTGTGAAGCTTCCAGAGCCTGTTGTAAGCAGAACTATTCTTCAACTGATTGTCCTCACACTTCTATTCTTGATCCTGTGGTTTACCCGCACCATCTCCTGGGCACCTGAGACAGTCTACTATACCTCTTTCAGTGAAAAACTGCTTTCTGGTGTTTGCTACTTCAGCTAGGATAGTAGAAGGCATTTCGGGTCCTCAAGGCCCGTATATATCACATTCTCTAAGAACTAAGTTGTCTTTACGATTCATTCCAGCTTCCTTCCCAAGGAAGGATTTCCATCCCAGTCGTCTTAGCTCTTTTCCAGGGAGATGTCCCATTAAGCAAATTTAGACTTTACCTTCTAGATGTATAGTGTCCTTTTAGTTAGAAGGGATGATGCTTGTCTGGGCCTCATCCCAGACAGCGTGTGGCTTTTAGAAATAGAGGGAGAAGGCAAACAGAGATTATTTAAGTCCTTTAAAAACTGCCTTAGAGGACTAAAAAAACCTTTGGATGAAAGGGTGCTCTGATAAAAACTTGTGAGCGTCTGCCTCTTGTTGGGGTACTGTACTTACATCTGAAATACACGTACGTGCTTCCCCGCATTCAGTCTCCTGCAAGTGCCCTTCTGTGGCTAGCTCAAGCCACTTGGAAAATGGATTGGGCTGAGCCACAGGGAGGACAGAGCCTGCACAGAGTGTTAGTGCTTAATAGCTATTCCGTGATAGCGTTCTCAGCTATTTCTTCATGTAAATAAGCACTTCTTGGCCAAATTACTGAGTCGCTAATGAAACCACTCCACTCTTGGTACTATTGGCTACCGTGGTTCAAAGGGTAGCCAAGGTGAAGGTACAGTCACAGTGAAATGCTGCTCTTAAAAAATTATGATTTTTATGTACAGTTCATATAGGTTGCACACCTCAAAACAATCACAGCTGCTTATTACTAAGTATGTTATTGTCAAAAAGAAAACATTTACATAATTTTAATTTCCAGTATATTTAATGTGCTGTTTTATCATAGAGATGGACAATCTGCAGTGAGCAGACACTTGCATTATGAATATTGCACCAGCATCCTTGCTCTTCTTCCTGTACAAGGTTCTGAGCAGATTATAACTCTGATGATGAGGAGGAAAACAGCTCATCAAAGTTAGAAAGTGCTGAAGTTGGCTTTTATTTCAAAATAAGCCAGGTATACCTTTTTTGTTTCTGAATCTGTGATATTTACACAAAACTTTTAAAAATGATCCCCTGTGCAGCAATTTGGCATGCAATAACTCTCTGCACTATATTGTATCATATTACTTTTCTTTTCAACAGCTAAGAGTGTAAACTGTAGAGCATAGTATGTGTAAGAAAAACTACAGTGAGGCTGGCAATTATTTCCAGAGATTGGCTCAGTCTTAGAAAATATTCATTGGCTCTCTAAAAAATCCAGGGATTCCCCCTCTGTTTTCTAAATCCTTTTTGATGTTATTTCAGCTGTCTTTGGACAAAGGAAGGGAAAAGTGACCCACAGAGAGATCAAGAGTACATCTTTGACGTTATTTAATGAGAAAATACTGACTTTTGTTGAATTACCCAGTTAACATAGAGCAGATAGAGACTGTCCGTTCTTTTTTACTTTTTCATTCTTTTGGTCTCAGCAGAAGACGCAGCTCTCTGAAACATGGCAGGTGAGTATTGGTTTATGATCCTTTTTAGTTGTGTTACAGATGGTTGCTACTCAAAGAAGGAATGAAGGGAATGTGACAAATGCAGTCC